CATCTAGTGACGGGATGTTCAACCTGCAGGACAACAATACATAGTACACAATCTATTGCACTGGGCTCTTTTTTATACTCGATTGAATTTCCATCCATTTGAAATGCATAGATATTTTTATTGGTTGTGAGTTGTATCATATATAGCCATTTTGGCTCTATTTGACCATATTATGCATTGCTGTCCTGCAGTTGGGTCATCCAACTCTGCAGAGCTTCAGTTAAATTCTCAGCCTACAGAAGCCATTGCTGGACCCACCACACAGATTGGAGTATCCGGGTCTGATGATGGGCACAAAATTGTCCAGAACCTCTAGCCAAACTTCATGACAGCCTCTTGGGCTCAGAGGAAGCCCTTTATTATGCATGCATGAAGGTCTTGGATCTCTTGATGGCATAATTCAGGGTGGTACCATATGCTCAGTTTTACTCCAGACCATTGCAACTCAACATTTTTGTCAAGTAAGACAAATGGAATTAGTTCTACGACTGTCTGATACATCTGTACCCCAAGGCCAGACTCTCCCTGACGTGGTAGATTTTCAATATGGTTGTTAGGGAAACCTTTTTCTCCACAGTCTTGGGCAGTTCTCACTGCACCAGACGTTGCACCACTATAAGGGAAGCAGATTTGATCCTCTCGTGGGCAGAACTACACAATCTGGTCTTGTCTGCTGTCCATATCCCAAACATAGAAAATTGATAGGCAGGCTTTTGTATTCTCATTGTCAGGATATGCACCTTCTGGCATCCAGATTTAACAGCAAATTAACCAGGTTTGTCACTAGGTCCATGGATCCTCAAATCTTTGCAGTGGATGTTGTGGTGATGCCGTGGGATCAGTTCAGTCTGGTCTTTGCATTTCCACACTTTCTGATTTTCCTTTACCACTTTTCAGCTTTGAGAAGGAGGGCATACTGGTGATCCTCGTTGCACCAAATTTTCCTAGGAGAATGTAGTTCACAGTTTGTCTACCAGGTAGATGCTCGGGCTTACTCTTATGCCAGTTTTGGCTACATGCTACTCTCTGTTTTCAATCTCTTTTTGACCATTTTTTTCTGAGGGCCTGTTTGTATTGTTTGCTGTTTTGCTTACCCACCATGTGGGCTGTGTTTAGATGTCTTAGCCATAATGAGTTAAAGTAGACACATTTTCTATGAGTAATTAGTATCAGAAATCCCCATTAGGCTCCCCCACCCCACAATAGCTTTTTTTCTATAATATTTCTTAATTTATTGTATGTGGTGTAGCAAAATACAGGGAAATAAACTTCAAACCATTTTAAAATTTGATTAATCGTTTTCTGAAATCTTAATTAAGTTATGATGTACCGTAATTCTCTTTTATTAATGATGTCACAGCTAATAGGCCTTAGCTATTTTTTATTTTCTAAGTCACCCATTGCTCCGGGATTTCTCACTATTAGAAACAAATTCCATCTGTATCTTGGAAACTATAATTTGAAGATGCTACCAAAAGTATAACGTAATTGTTAACACATAATTGCCACACTTATGATCTTCATGAGGGCGTCAGGATATTATTATTAGGATTAACAATATTATTATACAGGATTTACATAGTGCCAACTGTCTGCGAAGAACATGAGGGCAGACAGTACAGCGGCAATACAATTCAATACAGGAGGAATCAGAGGGCCCTGCTCATTAGAGCCTATAGTCTAAGAAGGAGGGTCAAGAGATACAAAATGTAATAACTGTATATATTCATCATTGCAAAGCTGCATTATCACCATGACCGCTTAGGCAAATTCAGAGTTTGTACTTGAAATAGTGTTTTGTGAGCTATACTGTAGATTGTGGATCTGTCACAAATGTTATTCCTTGCTGATGTTCTTCGTGTTATAATTATTCTCAATACACATCATACTCAGCTCATGTGTTTTCAATCGGCTTTGTGTGTTCAAAGATTCAGCAAAGTCCTTGAGATATCGGGCATTGGCTTTGTTTTTTTACTGGGAATAACAGCACACAGCAATATACAGTACTATGTTCATTTAAATGCAGAATCTCTATATTAGCACTGTGGCATATGTCCTCCTATAAAGTATTGCCACATGTGCTAAGCATTTTCAGCTTCCCATGATCTCAATGAAGGGATATTTGTGTACGCTCTGTGGTCTTCACATAGCTATGGTCTTCTGACCCTTTTAATGTACAATGCCTATTTTCATAATCATAATTGTGTAATGTAAACTTGGGAAAAGAAAGCCTCCTGCAAGGACTGGAGCTGAGCTGAGCGATCTCTATTATTGTAGGAAATGCTCTGTAGGTTAAAGAGGCCACTGAGCATATGAAATGCCCATACTGGAATATTTAGATGGTTATAGGTGACACGGGCTGATGATTATATTGCTTTATGGGCAGTGCTTTTGCAATCTCAATCTTTTTCCCACCTTATTTTCCTTATGGTTGAATTTACACTATAATTTTTGCATGCACAAATGTAACGCATGCGTGTAGGTGTGGATGGGCCCATAGAGTTTCCCACTGTCTTTCATGTTAAATTACACAGAACAGATACAGTTTGTGAGCCAGCCACTTTTGAAATATTGGAACTTCTGTTTGACATCAAGAGTTACTTCACGTTTGTTGAAAAAAAAAACAATCACCTCTAAATGATCTATGTACACTGCTCAAAACTCAAAAAATTAAAGGAACACTTTGAAAACACATCAGATCTCAGTGGGGAAAAATATCATGCTGGAAATCTATACTGATATGGACTGGTTAATGTGTTAGGAATGTGAAGATGCCCCATCGCTTGATGGAAATGAAATGGATCAACCTACAGAGGTCTGAATTCAAAGACACCCCGAAAATCAAAGTGAAAAGTAAAAAATTTTGCAGCAGGCTAGTCCATTTTGCTGAAATTTCATTTCATCAGTAGTTCATATGGCCCCCATGTGCTTGTATGCATGCCTGACATTGTCAGGGCATGCTCACAATAATGGTGTCCTGGAGTTTTTCATGCCAGATCTGGACCAGGGCATAATTGAGCTCCTGGACAGTCTCAGATGTAACCTGGTGACATCAGATGAACAAAAACATGATATCCCAGAGGTTTTCTATTGGATTTAGGTCAGGCGAGTGTGGGGGACATTCAGTGGTATAAATTCCTTCATCCTCCAGAAACTGCCTGCATACTCTCACCACATGAGGCCAGACATTCCTGTGCACCAGGAGGAACCCAGGACCCACTGCACCAGCGTAGGGTCTGACAATGGGTCCAAGGATTTCATCCTGATACCTAATGGCAGTCAGGGTGCCATTGTCTAGCTTGTAGAGGTCTGTGCATCCCTCCATGGATATCCCTTCCCAGAACATCACTGACCCACCATAAAAATGTTCTCCACGGCTTCTCCAGACCCGTTCATGTCTGTCACATGTGCTCAGGGTGAATCTGCTCTCATCTGGGAAAAAAAGCACAGGGCGCCAGTGGCAGACCTGCCAATTCTGGTATTCAATGGAAAATGCCAATCGAGCTCTATGGTGCTGGGCAGTGAGCACAGATCCCACTAGAGGACGTTGAGCCCTCAGGCCACCCACATGAAGTCTGCTTCTGATTGTTCGGTCAGAGATATTCACACCAGTGGCCCGCTTGAAGTCATTTTGTAGGGCTCTGGCAGTGCTCATCCAGTTCCTCCTTGCACAAAGGAGCAGATACTGGTCCTGCTGATGGGTTAGGGACCTTCTACGGCCCTGTCCAGCTCTCTTAGAGTAACTGCCTCTTAGAGTAAACTAGTGAAAAACAGTCAGAAAAGATGAGTAGGGAAAAAAATATCAATGGCCTCCACCTGTAAAACCATTTCTGTTTTGGGGGTTGTCTCATTATTGCCCATCTAGGGCACCCTTTTGTTAATTTCATTAACATCAAAGCAGCTGAAACTGATTAACAACCCCCTCTGCTACTTACCTGACCAGATCAATATCCCAGGAGTTTAATTGACTTGATGCTATACTCTGATTAAAAAGTGTTCCTTTAATCTTTTTGGAGCAGTGTACATTGCAAGGATTTCAACAAAGGTTGTTGCAGATTCCAATCTAAGAAGAAATAGCTGTATCTCTATGTCTTTTCTGGACTGATTCCTAAAAGGGAGGATGTGTGTTCATTAATACTGTAACCAACTAAGCAAAGCTCAGTGATCTAATGGTGAAAGCTGCAGTGCCTGAATCTTTTTAGTATTCAAGCCATAGGAGCATCTCACCAAAAATTAAATTCTTATTTCAGGGAATGCCTACAATTGTATCTTAGTGCAGACTTCTGAGAAAATATGTGAAATAGTCACATAAGCATTTATGGGGACATTTGTGTACAGAACATCTCTGGTTGCCATACTGCAATATTTTCTTTTTTAATTTTTAGAAAAATAGACCAGCTGCAAATTGAAAAAGAGATATCATTTTATTCTGAACTTCACCTTCTCAGTCAACATTGACTATTTTGAATCCTTATGCTTCTAGTATTAGTAAATAAATATGAAAGTATATCATATTTACTTGTTTTAAACTTGTTTTTTACATTTCTTCAGTTACTTCCTGGTTTCCATATCTAGGCAGATTATGTCATAATCCCAGGGGTCTTCAGGAGGGGAGGAGGGGTTTTCTCAGCTAAGCACACCCTACTGCCTGCATGTCTGAGCTAAGGGCAGATGGATTCCAGGAAGTAAATGCTGCATGACTCATCTGCCTTTAATCAAGGTGTTCATGGCCAGAAATGCTAGGGGGTAATTTTCAAAGTGATTTCTTGGCAAAATAAACCATGGAGACATGGATGGATGGGGGAGTTTGCTTTGAATATTCAAAATAAATTAACTACTTCCCTTCCGCCCTATAGCAGAAATACTGCTACAGGGCAGCACGGGTACACCATTCTCAGTCTCGGCTGTCAATCACTCGCTGCCACCTGGTGATTGCCGAGTATCTCCGACAGACAGATTTCTCCCGTCAGCTCCTGCACAGGGGCGGACTGACAACTCATGGGGCCCCCGGGCAATAGGGGATCATGGTCCCCTGTGTCCTCGCCCACACTCAAATCACACCCAAAAAAAGCCTATGAAAGGAACCAGGGACATCTCATGGGGCCCCCTACTGACCCCGGGCCCTCGGGCAGTGCTCGAGTTCCCCAATGGTCAGTCCGCCCCTGGCTACACACAGCCATACAAAGCAGTGTGCTTACAGTGAAACACACACAGCCTCATAGTAGAAACAGCACATAGTTAACTCTTTGATTGCCCCAGATGTTAACCCCTTCATGCCCAGTGCCATTAGTACAGTGTCAGTGCTTTTTATTAGCACTGATCATTGTACTGGTGTCACTGGGGATGTCGGGGACACCAAATTAGTTCCCCCCAGTGTCAGAATGTTGGCCGCAGTCCTGCTATAAGTCACTGATCGTCGCCATTACTAATAAAAAAAATAAATAAAAAAAATTCCAGTATACTGTATATACCACCATTTGTAAATGCTATAATTTTCACGTAAACCAAATAATTTACATGTATTGGGATTTTTTTTCAGCAAAACTATGTAGCAGAATACATTTTGGCCTAAATTTATGCCAAAATTTGATTTTTAACATTTTTTTACTGGACATGTTTAACCACTTGTCAAACGCGCTATAGCCGAATGACGGCTACAGCACAGTTGTCCAGTTCTGGGAGGGCGTCACATGACGTCCTCCCAGAACGCACCCTTCGGTGCGCACCCGGCCATCTGTCCTACGAACACAGCTGATCCCATGATGTGGTAAAATGCCAATCACAGCGGCCTTTTACCACATGATTAGCTGTGTCCAATGACACAGATCAGCAGATCACTGGGTAAATGCAGTTGCCGGTTATCAGCTGCACTTTCCTCATGCTGTCACAGCATGAGCTCAAAGTACTGCCGATAACTGGCAATTGTCAGAAAACAGATCGGCACTGATCATCAGGGCACTGATGATCAGTGCCTGGCAGTGCCACCCACCTGTGTCCAGCAGTGCCACCCACCTGTGCCCAGTAGTACCCCTTGTCAGTGCCACCCACCAGTGCTGCCAGTTAGTGCCCATCAGTGCCACCCACCTGTGCCTAGCAATGCCACCCACCTGTGCCCAGCAGTGCCACCCACCTGTGCCCAGTAGTACCCCTCGTCAGTGCCACCCACCAGTGCTGCCAGTCAGTGCCCTCAGTGCCCATCAGTGCTGCCCATCAGTGCCGCCTATCAGTGCCCATCATTGCCGCCTATCAGTGCCCATCATTGCTGAATATCAGTGCAACATCATCAGTGCCAGCTCATCAGTGCCGCCTATCAGTGCTGCCTATCTATGCCACCTCATCATTACCGCCTATCAATGCACATCAGTGAAGGAGAAAAATTACCTTTTTGCAAAATTTTATAATATAAACAAAGAATAACTTTTTTTTTCAAATGTTTTGCTCTTTTTTTGTTTATAGTTCAAAATATAAAACACACAGTGGTGATTAAATACTACCAAAAGAAAGGTCTATTTGTGTGAAAAAAATGATAAAAATTTCATATTTTAAAGGGTGCCTTGACTGAAAAAAAGGTGGAGAAACATTGCCCTAGCCTATTCACTCAATGATGTTTAGTACCCAGTAACATCAAACAGAAATAGGATTTTCAGAAAGTAAAAGACTTTGGGACATGAACTTACCATTTACAGTATACACTGCTTAGATGGACCATCAGGAAACAGTTATTAATATTCCCCTTGAACACGTTCCTGGAATAGGCTGAGATAAAAACGGGTGCTGCAGTAAGAGCCAGCTAGAAACTGGTAACATCACAAATCAACGTACATATTTGCCAGCACACAACGGTTCTTCAAGTAACGTCTAAACGTTTGTATGTACTGTAAAGTGAATACATCACAGCGGAAGAGTGTAACGTTTCAAGGTTACGCAGGACCCCTTTGTGAGGCATGTGATGTGATCAGGGGTGGACTGACAACTCATGGGGCCCCCGGGCAATAGGGGATCATGGGGCCCCTGTGTCCTTGCCCAAACTCAAAAAAGCCTATGAAAAAGGTACCAGAGGCATCTCATGGGGCCCCCTACTGACCCCGGGCCCTCGGGCAGTGCCCGAGTTTCCAAATGGTCAGTCCGCCCCTGGATGTGATACGTTGCACTCTTCTGCTGTGACGTGATCACTTTGAATAAAATCTTTTGGGTGTTACTTGAAGGTTCTTGATGTACTGGCAAATATGTACGTAAACCATCAGGAAAGACCCCTTTGAGTAAAAAATGCTGCAACGGCACATACTATGAATGTCGCTGTTAATGTTTTTTTTTTTCACAGCAGGGAACTACAGTAAGTAATCACAAAGGTACGCGTGTCTCCTACAATTCCCCTGAACTAAAAAGTAGAATAAATCATTCTAAACAATTCCATGCCTAAATTCCTTACATTTGTGATCTGTGGGCCCCCAGATCACAAATGACTTACCCCCAGGTTTTGATACAATGTTAATAGATGTTTTATGTGAATATCTATTTCATATGACTTACACTTGTGCAATGACACTCTTCTGTATTGTTGTTTGTCCCTCACTTTTTCTCTACATTTCTCTCTTTGTTACTTATGTATGACTGTAGCTATGCTATAGACACTAAGCCTGGGTTCACATATGTGCGGTGAGGTATATTGCATGAAATTCACGCAGGAACCGCACCACATTCCTGAAATTTGCGTGCAGTGCGATTAGAGCCATACATTTTGTATAGCTATAATCGCACCGCACCCTCACCAAAAATGTTCAGGACCCTTTTCTGGTCTGCACTAGTATTGGATCACATGGGTATTCACACTTATGTGATCTAATTCTGCAAATCGTTTTTGCGTTTTTGCGACCACTTTCGGGGTGTTGTTAACTTAACATACACACCCACAGCGGTTCGCAGGAACGGGGTGCGATTCTGATTCAGTGTGAATTCTGCACCGCATCAGTGTGAACCAGGGCTAAATGTGCCATCAGGGAAAGGGAGTGCAATTCCATTGAAAGGTATCACAACCCTAAACTTTTCTTACACCCTTGACCCTGTACACCCAGATTTCAGGAGCAAGAGTGGAACTTAGTATCCATTCAACATCAAGATAACCTGTATGTGCATTTAGCTTTATCTCCCTGTTATTTGTCAATTAGGTATGCAATATAATTTACTGTTCCCCCTCTCACTATATTATCAGTGAATTATTTTGTCAATTGTTGCAAGTATGTCTTTAAACAATGGTCTCCAAACTGCGGCCCAGGGGCCGGATGTGGCCCTTTGCTTGCTTTTATCTGGCCCTTTAAGCACTTTTTCTCCACTGATGCCAGACACTATTCCTGCCACTGAAACCACCAAAGGGGTATAATTACTGTTACTGACATCAACAATGGGGCACTATTTCTCCCATTGACACCAACGATAGGGCATTATTTCTCCCTCTAATGCCAAAGATGCATTGTTTACTCACACTGATGGCAGTACAATTTATACTCCCAATGGCCACAGTCCTGCCCCCCTAAAGTCTGAAGAACTGTAAACTGGCCCTTTGTTTAGAAAGTTTGGAGACCCCTAGTCTATATAATTGATGTTATGCCTTCTGTGGGCACTTTAACACAAATTGTTGATGCCTTGTTGATGCTAAAAACCTGCTAAAAATGTCTGAAACAGAAAGGAGGTGAAGTGACACATATGTACCCCACTTTTCTCAAAATGTTGCCCCATACACATATGTCAGATTGCTTCAGACAATTTAAAATTTCCTATGATTAAATTCAATCTCCAGGAACTGAGAGGTTTTGCTAAATAGGTATTCATGCTTAAAGGGGGAGAGGTGCAGCGCTAACTTAATAAATATACACTTAAATAGTTACACAAACCAATGTTAAGGTGCTATTAAAGTGCAAAACGGTGACTAAAATGAGTATAGTCCATAACGTGTTCAAAAGGTGTTCAAAACCCAAGAGTCTTCAAAAAGCTCCAATGCCTGGATTCGTGGATGAGGTGATAAAGGTATAAAGATTGCGCACTCACCAGATATGCAATCCAAATGCGCATTCAAAGCAGATAATCCTAGGGTCCTCATATGGATCTGGTCAGATCTGGTCACAAAAGCCCCTCGTCACTCGATGGTGTTTGCCACGCATAGAAGAAAAAAGGGGGGGCCACTCTGTTGGCAGTAATTCAATAACAAGTCTGGGGTATGCGATATCCGAGCACCCAGATGATGTAGCTTGTGCGGATCCCGAAATCTGCAGGTCAATCTGCGGCAACCCTTCCGGATGCTCGGATATCGCATACCCCAGACTTGTTATTGAATTACTGCCAACAGAGTGGCCCCCCCTTTTTTCTTCTATGCGTGGCAAACACCATCGAGTGACGAGGGGCTTTTGTGACCAGATCTGACCAGATCCATATGAGGACCCTAGGATTATCTGCTTTGAATGCGCATTTGGATTGCATATCTGGTGAGTGCGCAATCTTTATACCTTTATCACCTCATCCACGAATCCAGGCATTGGAGCTTTTTGAAGACTCTTGGGTTTTGAACACCTTTTGAACACGTTATGGACTATACTCATTTTAGTCACCGTTTTGCACTTTAATAGCACCTTAACATTGGTTTGTGTAACTATTTAAGTGTATATTTATTAAGTTAGCGCTGCACCTCCCCCCCCTTTATGCATTCTGATTATTGTGAAGGTTTTATGGTACCTTTTTGGTGTTCAGCTGCTATTTTCTAGTTTAATTTAATTTTGTTCACTTATTGATTTTATAAGTTGTTTTAAGCGCTCACTTGTCTTGAGATTTACTAGGTATTCATGCTTAACTGACCATCTGGCTCTTATCTGTAAGTACGACATCTTTAGTAGAAGTGCTATTGCCCTTTCAGCTTCTTACAGTTCTACTTGAAAATTGTCTCCAGCATCTCCAGCTCTTACTCATACAAGTACACTCATATAAGTGCACAAACCTGTGTATTCCCTTCATAAATTGCTGTTGTTACAAGCATTACACCCGATTAATAGCTGCCCTATAGAGTACTAGTCAGACCTCAACGCAACATGACTCATTAACCTCTTAATCCGTGTCAATTTCCCTTGTTGTCTTCTCACCTGGTTCAATTTGCTTTGCAGCATGTCTCTTCTAGATCTAGTTGACCTCAGCTAAAAATACACACCTCTCTTCTGCCCCCTTTACCTTTTAATTTGCTATTACATTAATGATGACAATTAGGCAATGACACATCTGCATCCACAGATGGAGCCAAAGGCAGATTGTCCCGTCTCGCGACCAAAATCAACACCGGACATAAAAATAACAATTTACTCTGTGGTTAAATGTACGGATGTGAATGTTACATCATTACAAAAATAAAAAGAAGTAGTCTGCCAAATAAAAATAATAATAGAGGACCATGGGGCGGTCATGTTCTCAGCCATACAATTTTAAATAAAGCAGGCTACTTGTCTAGCTTTAAGGATTAAGATTTCTATAACTTCCGAGCCTGTCTGTTTTCACAATAATTATTTTCTTTAACTGTCCCATATAATACGTTATTTCCTGAATTTGCAAAAGAAAATAGAGGGAGAACAATTTCATTGCCACAGTGAGAAAAGGTTTGAAAAGGCTTGTGCAGGAATGCCCGAGGGAAATCTTGTTCTAAGATTTAATTACACTTTTTTCAGCCCATTTCTTTGTGTGAACGATCCCACGTAGCACTGTATAATTATGCCATTTGGCGTGCCGAGCATGGGGCGAATGGTTTGGGCATGACTAGCCTGTAACGTTACTGTCTGCAATATTGTGTCATTATTGCAAGTTGTTTCCTGTGTTTTGGAGACGGCCTATTATCTCACACGACTTGAAAGATCTGTATGTAGTGACCACAACAAAAGTCTCAGACTGACACTACAAACCAGAAAGCCTTGTTGGTGTTAGCAGTATCCTGAGAGTGGATATTTGAATGTGATATTTCTGATAACAGAGGCTGTTCAGTTGATTGCTGTCGGTTTAGGACACCCAAGGGATTTTACAGCCCACTCAGAGATTAAAACATCTATATTTGCTCCTTTAACTTTTTTTGTGATGAATACACAGTTGTGTATAGCATGACAATGCCAGAAATGTCAGAGCTAAACGTCAGGCAAATATAAAAAAAAACACCCTTAATCCAGTTATACATTTAATTATAAAATTATAAACTGTATTTTTTTCATAGAAATTGCACAAATACATGTTTTTGATGTCAGGCGCCTATAATCCTCTACATAAAAGCATTCTGGAAATGTATGTGCACATGTATTTGTGCATATATCACTGTGAGCCATTTTGAGCTCCATTGCTATGCAGACTTTTTTCCTCCTGGTGTTGGGATAAGTGGGTGACCAAAGCTGTATTGCTTAGCTGAAGTTGATAAAATTGAAATTGCCTGTCCTGCTTTGACAAGGGTGCCTGAATCATAAGACTAGAAGAACACAAATACAATTTATTTTGGCAGATAAAGCAGTTTGTGTATTTAACTGTTTGCCTGGTTTCCAGCTTTACAGGCAGGGCCCTTCTAATCCTCTTGTATTGAATTGTATTGTAACTGTACTGTCTCCTTTTACTTTGTAAAGTGCTGTGCAAACTTTTGGTGCTATATAAATCCCATTTAATAATGATTACAATAACTATCAGTATTCAAGATTGAGAACATTTACAAATGTATTGACATAAAACAGGAACATTCTGTGCCACTTAAGCAAACAGTGTTTTCTAAATCCCAGTTCTAAACTGCCCCTTCAAAGGTATGGCCTTTTTTTGCTAACTTGGCCATTAGGGAAACAATATAATTTTGTACTTTCTGCACTTCGTTTCATGCCCCTAGTATGCCTATTAACCTTTATGTTAGGGTTTTAGGGTCATGTGACTGCCGTGATTTGCTGTCACAGCAGTCACACATGATCGAAAAAGGTACCAATCGCAAAGGTAGATCGGGACCTTTCTGTGAGACACCGACATATGTGCTGGGAGCGCGCTGGGTGTTTTCAAATGGTACACAAATATGCGCCCTCTCGGCACCAAGGCCCAGTTGCCGAGAGGCCGCATATTTGCGTACGCTCGGCGTCAAGGGTTAACAAGAG